TTGGTCAATACGGAACACTCCCATACTCTGCTGGAAAATTTTTTTCATCCTTCTTCGTACATCCACACATCTTCGTACAATCAGAAATAGTCCCAAAAATGCTGAAAATAGATAATAAAATATCAAAGTACACGAATTCATCCAAATAATAATTAAGTCGAAAAATATAGATATGCGAATAAATTAAGTGTATGAGAATACACTATTAAATATATAAAACGTGCACAATTTTCGACCTATCATTGGGAACCGAATAATCCTATCATGCATTCCTGCAATAAAATTAACTCAATTAGAGGGTTTTTTTTCTTAATCTTTTGAATTTTCTATTATATGTTTATGTTCACTGTTTGCCCATGTTCAAATTTCAACACGTTTCGGCTTTAACCTATTTCTAGCGCATTTTCGGCCATTGATTAGTTCATTGTACATTGTAATCTTGCCATGTCAGAGGACTAGTGTTTTTTATAGTTTGCAACTTTATTTCTATCGAGACTGATATAGACATGTCCAAGGTCGAACCGGCTAGTTGACCGCGGCCCTTAAACCGATCCGTGGTTTTACTTATGCCGGTACATGTTCATGCTTTTGGACAATTTTAACATTTGGTTCTAGTTTTGATCCGGAACAAGTGGTTCGATGATTTTTTTTTTTACTGTTTTTTTATATAAATTATTAGTTTGGCTTGGAACCGGTTGGTCGATTCTGAATAGGAACCACCGGTTCACTGAACCGATCTGTATATTATCGGACTGATTCAGGTCCCAAAAAATGCGGCCCATTACCGTGATTTGGCCATGACTAGATTGATAAGGTCCAACGACTATGCTATTTTATTCATAGAGTGGCCTATTTAGTGTATTTGTTTTTTCATGTAATAAATTTTTGTATGGACTGTTAAAACTTTTTAATAAAAATGTATATTTATACTATTTAATATTATTTTCTTATTTATATTATTTTTTAGTGTTTGATATTTCAAATTAAATGTATGAATGTCTAAAAAGCAGTCTTACTGTATCTACTATAGTATTTAATCTTGTACGCATACATATATGCAAATGAAATTTTATATGTTATATGTTCGTATATGTAATATTTGAAACCATAAATTAGGTAATAAGCATATCATATTTTATGAATTTTGTAAAAATGAACAATATAAATATAAACTATTTAATTTGCATATTAATTTTTATATTGGATTGTAATAATTAATGTAACTTTTGCAATCTTGCTTGAACATGACAAATTAATTAAATTAAATAATATTTAAATGATTATTATAAAAATTATGCACGGAAATTTAAGGGGTTTGTCTATGCCATAAAATATAATTTAACTAATTTTAATAAAAAAACGTGCTTGATGAGCTGAAATAATAATAATAATTTTGAATAAATAGTTTTAAAATAAATTAGAGTAGAATATCATTTAATGTAACTTTATATTTAGTTAGTAGTAACTCTTATGTAATAAAATAAATAAAAAATACAATTACTTGATTAATGCAAAATATAAGGAAGAACATCCTAAAAACAGAAAATAATAATAATAATAATAATAATAATAATAATAATATATTGTCATAACAGTGTTGACCGGTTGATCCATCTAGGGTAAGATGAAGATTTCAATCAAAATTACCATACATGGAGCATGCCATTGAACTTAACAAAAAAAAATGTAATATTATTATTAAACATATCTAACTGTATAAATATATTTGTTTTAATAATATACATATTTTCATATTGAAATGTCATATTATAAAAAAATATAAATAAAAATATAATATTTTATAATAAATGTATATATATATATATATATTTTAAAAAATATGACGTAACAACTCACATACTAAGAGCACCCACAATGCTTTGGGTCTCTTAACAAAAAATCACATGCCACATGGGAAATAGACTTAGTCTATAAAAAAATATTTCCCAATGCAATTAAAAGTGGACATGGTCTAGCTTATGTGACAATGAAAAAAAGAGACCAAGTCCACACTTGGGTCTATTTTGGACTCAAGTACAAACCAGAACACTCATCATTTGTTCTTATTTTTTTTTTTAATGAATAAAATATATTAGAGCATTTCTAATGGTTGGCATGTATGATAGACCTAGTCTTTTTATTTTTGCATTGCAAAGTTTTTGAGTTTTTTTACTTGGGTTTGTCCATGTCAATTAAAACTCAAGTCCAATTATATGCCATATATGCAAATTGTATGCCACCTAAGAAATAGACCTAGTCTAAAAACATGTATTCTTCAATGCAAGCAAAAGTAGACTGGGTCAAGCTGATGTGGCAGCAAAAAAAAGAGACCCGGTCTACCCCTAGGTCTATTTAGACCCAAATAGAGACCTAGTCTCTTTGCATTGGAGTGCATTTTATCCATGTCATTCAAGACTTTAGTTTAATTACATGTCACATAAGTAAAGTTAGACCCAATATATTGTAAATGCTCTAATGAGACACTTTTAAGAAGGAAAAAAAGAAAGAAAAATGTCAGCAAACATCAAATAATACAGTCACCTTGGAGTGAGATGAAGTTTGTGATGGACCAAGCAAGTTAAATATAAGCAAATGGTGGGGCATTTTCATAACCATATGGATTTTGGGACCATGAAATTGGAAAGAAACGTTTTGGCCAAGATGCAACGGGGTTCAAATGACACATTTGTTAGTATTTCCTATAAAAAGACACCAATGTCTATATTGTGGACATGATAAGGCATGTCAACACATATGGGACCTCAACACCATCAATTATTGTTGTTGCTTCTTGTTTGTTTTGAATTAAAAGGTCCCCCAAAACTCAGCTTCTTTATTTTTATGTTTATTACCAAAAATCCCAAAGTATAAATTTGAATTAATTCACATAAATTCGTAAAACGTCTCATAATAATGTACCAGTTGAGTCAGACGACTCATGTAGTTTGCCAACAATTTTTCGTATTTTATACACATTTATCGTCCATAGATTTTCTAATAGTTGCGAAATAGATACCGACATGTCCTACAAAAGTTTAGTAAGGTAGAAATTATATATCTTCCAAGATATATATATCTATTATATGTGTCTAAAAGAGTATGAACAAAGTTAATCAAACTATATAAATAAGTTTTATACATCAATTACTACTATATTAATATTTTGAAAATAAGAAAAAAAATGCTTAGACAAAACTTGTACCATTCTCCAATTAGTCAATAAGTTTTATACATCAATATTAATATAGTATATGAACAAGAGGTTGGAGGTTCAAATATTTGTACCATTCTCCAATTTGTCAATTGTCAAAGGAACTGAATTTATTAAGATTGTACACAAAAGAAATCTTGTTATTTAGCCATAAGGCTTAATGTACGGGTTTTCAAGTTGCATTAAAACTCGAAGCCCTCTTTAGAATATCCCTTACTTTATTTAATCTTATGTGACAAAGGTCCCCCTCTTTCATGCTACTCAAAAATCCAAGATTGCTGACCTTAGACCCCACCATTTTTCAATAATTGAAAATTAGATTGGCTAGAATCAAATATCAGATACTATATAATTGTATGTATACATGTGTATATATATAATATATATTGATGATAAAATTCATAAAGTTAGACATGCTGCTTCTTGATGATCAATCGACCTCACAACGTTTGAATGGGTCCTGTAATATAAATACTTACTATAATATCCCAATAGACTTTAGAATAGCGTATATTAATTGTTGAGGTATCAAAGTTATTAGAATAACAATATGTGACTATGGTAGTAAGTCTAGTTTCACATATTGTTACTTTGACTTGGTCACATGCATTGTAGGCTACACATTTACATTTTTGTAATAACCTTCCTAATTACTTATATTTACATACTATTAAGGGATTATATTAACTTCATAAAATTTGATCAGCTACTTATACTTCATTTTTTATAATAAACGTATTACCTACCTGTTTTTCAAAATATTCTAAAACTACTAACATAACAATAAAATGAGACAAAAAAAAAAGTAAAAATATGAAATAAAATTATAGATCACTGCTTGACATGTACATTCACCAGAACCAATCATGATTTGGACATGGATCGATCCAAATTTTCTGTCAGCAATAGATAAAGGAAAAACCAAATAAAATAAACAATTATATCTGCTCAGACACCAAACTCATCGATTATTAATTAGGTATGGTCTTTGAATATGG